AAAAAAAAAAGAGAGAGAAAAGAAAAACTATTTGTCAGAACTGTGGACTTGGGTCTTTCAAGTAGTAATACGTAAGCCTTTGGCTCTGTTAACACAGTCCTGTCTCCTGCTGTGGTCCTGCAGTTTTAAAAGTTGTGAATTGCTGAATAGTCGTCTGTTAGAAAGGTGGGGCAGCATTGGATTCAGACTGCCACTATCAAATGACAGACTTTTTCTTTACCCCGAACCTTAAGTTACAGCACGAGAGAGCATCTGGCTGCCCTTCATGGAGACAGAGCTGCACTGTGATGAGAAGACCATCATTATCGGCCACAGTTCTGGGGCCATCGCAGCCATGAGGTACGATCTTTGTTAAACTGTATCCCCTTTGTGGGCTCCAGCCATGCTTGCTTGAGATATACCTTGTGTATATCTTAAGTTTCTATTGCAGAGGAAACAATGCTGACCTCTAAAGTGGTAACATAATCTGTCCTAATTCCTTCCTGGTTTTGCTAGTGGATTGAAAAAAAAAAATCTGCTCTTATTGGGATGCAGTGATCCTTTTAAAGCGTAAGTGGCTGCAAACCCCAGTGGCTTCCCATCAGTCAGCTCTGATTCTGTCTCTACAGACTCTCCTTCTCTCCTCCCAGCCAGGTTTACTGACCTCATTGTGGTTCCTGGAACATGCTAAGTACACACACATCTTAGCCTGCTCTCATTCTTCTACCTGGGACCTCTGTCCCTAGACATCAGCATGGCTTTCTATTCCCCTTGAAGTCTGTGCTCAAATGTCCCCTTTAGGTGAGGCCTTCTCTAATCACTCCATGTGAAACGGCTTCCTCACTCTGCTGGCTCCTATCCCTTTTATATCTTATTATCTGCAGCACATTTTTTTTTTTTTTGAGACGGAGTTTCACTCTTGTTGCCCAGGCTGGAGTGCAATGGTGCCATCTCAACTCACCACAACCTCCGCCTCCCAGGTTCAAGCAGTTCTCCTGCCTCAGCTTCCTGAGTAGCTGGGATTACAGGCATTCACCACTATGCCTGGCTAATTTTGCATTTTTAGTAGAGACGGGGTTTCTCCATGTTGAGGCTGGTCTCGAACTCCTGACCTCAGATGATCCACCCGCCTTGGCCTCCCAAAGTGCTGGGATTACAGGCGTGAGTCTATCTGCAGCACTTTTTATCATCTGACATCCTGTTTATTTCTTGTCTGTCTCCTGCCAATAGAATGTAGACTCCAGGAAGGCAGGGCTTTGTTCAGTCTGGCACTGAAACCCCATTGCCTAGAAGAGAGCCTGGCATATGGTAGATTGTGTCTGCAGTGTCACTCACCTGCGAATCCCTGGTCCTTAGGTTCATGAGCACATCCCTACTGCTCATTAAGAATATTATATCTCCCCTTTTGGCCTTATAAAGCCTAGTGGGTAGCGACTTAGCTGGCTGACTAAGCTAAGTTTAGCCTATAAGGGTTGAGTTTCTTTCGTATTTGCTAGGCAAAATGACAAAGGATAATAGTTTTTATTTGTCCCAAGCAGTCACTTAGGATGTCACATGAATTGCATGTCAGGGAATCTTGCCAAATTTCATAACCTTTCAGCCACACTGATTAAAGTTACAAGAGTATTTCAGGATGGAGCTACAAAATTATGGTACACTCCTAGTGTAAGGATGTTTATATGCTGCCAGGGGTTGTCTGGAAAACGAAGAGCTCCTTGTATTATTGAATTCTGTCCCAGCTCAAGGCCAACTGCATTTTTCTCAAGCCATGGATTAGTAAAGATGTGCCTGCTTTTAAAGATCCTTGAACTCACTGCAGTATTATTAGCAACCTTCTAAGAATTGACTTCTAAAGTTAAGGGAGACAAGGAGAAAAATGGATGGCAAAATGATTGGGTTAAGGTTGTAGAATTTCCTATTGACACAATCATAGAGGACTACCCTACAGATGACTGTAATCATGAAAGGGAAGTTGTGCCTTTACAATGGAGAGATCACGTGGATGTCACCTTAAGCAAATGATCAAACTTAATCTCACCAATAATACACTGGCATCATTGTCCCCTGATGTGATGGTGTGGGAAAGACATAGCATCACCTATGTAGTATCCTTGCCAGAAATGTTTACCTCAGTCTAGTTAGGAGGAAACAGACAATCCCATTTAGAGGATAATGTACAAGACAGGCCTAAACTCTTAAACAATGTTAATGTCATTTAAAAGAAAAAATTTAACAGTGACTGAAGAGCCATGAAAATAAAATGCAATGCATAATCCTTGACTAGATCTAGGATTTTAGAATGTTTTAAAGGACGTTTTTGGTTCAGTTGGGGAAAACTGAATACAGATAATATTGCTGTATCAGTGTGAAATTTATTGGGTGTAATAGTGGTACCATGGTTAAGGGAGTGGCCTTCTCAAGAGATACATGCTAAAGTAAGGGTGAAATGTAACAAAATTAATGAATCTCGGTGGTGCTTGTTCTTTTTTTTTTTTTTTTTTGAGACAGAGCCTCGCTCTGTTGTCCAGGCTGGAGTGCAGTGGCACAATATCGGCTCACTGCAACCTCTGCCTCCCAGGTTCAAGCAATTCTCCTGTCTCAGCCTCCCGAGTGGCTGAGACTACAAGTGCCTGCCACCATACCTGGCTAATTTTTGTATTTTTAGTAGAGAGGGGCTTCACCATATTGGTCGGGGTGGTCTTGAACTCCTGACCTCAGGTGATCTGCCTGCCTTGGCCTCCCAAAGTGCCGGGACTACAGGCATGAGCCACCATGCCCAGCCTAGGTGCTTGTTCTTTAAACGTTTCTATAGGTTTGATATTTTTCAAAGTAAATGGGGAAAAAAGTTTAGGCCCAAGAACAAAATACCAACGCTAACTCTTTCTTGGCACAAAGGTCTCTTGAAATTATTACTACTATGTGTCTTTTCTTATCCCAGTCTTTGCTGAGGGATACTGCTGTCTGCAAATACTATAATTGGAGCCTCACTCTACTTGCTTCTATCCTCTTTATATCTTATTATCTGTAGTACTTTTCACCTAGACCTAATCAATCCTAGATCTAGTCAAGGATTATGCATGGCATCTGACATCCTGTTTATTTCTTGTCTGTCTCCTGCTTACTTTTAATGGCAAAAACTGCAGTGACTTTTGTACCAACCTAATCGTTAGCTGGGTGTCTACTTGCCAGGCACTGTAATGGGCACCAGGAACGCAAAGATCAATAGGACTCATACCTGCCCTTAAGGAGCTGACAGTTATTGAGAGAAATTTACATAAGACGACACAAATGAATAATACAAGGCAATGTGGAGTGTGTGGTACCAAAGGTACATTTCTGGTATTGTACAGTGTTTCTTAAAATACAGTTCACAGACCACTTGCATTAGAGTCATCTGGGTTGAAGGAGGGATCATGCCTTAAAATGCAGATTCTAGGCCTTAATCCCAGCTTTCTGAATCAGAGGCTCTGGGTCTGAGCCTGAGAATCTGCATGTTCACCAACCAAGTGACACTGAAGCATACTAAACGTGGGTGGATTACACATTTTTTGTTTATTGGGAAAGGTTTGCACAAGTTTGAACTACCTTGAAAAATGAGTAGGGGCTGGGCGCGGTGGCTCACACCTGTAATCCCAGCACTTTAGGAGGCCGGGGTGGGCAGATTATTTGAGGTCAGGAGTTCAAGACCAGCCTGGCCAACATGGTGAAACCCTGTCTCTACTAAAAATACAAACTTAGCTGGGCATGGTGGTGCATGCCTGTAATCCCAGCTACCCAGGAGGCTAAAACAGGAGAATCGTTTGAACCCAGGAGGTGGAGGTTGCAGTGAGTCAAGATTGTGCCACTGCACTCCAGTCTGGGTGATAGAGTGAGACTCTGTCTCAGAAAAAAAAAAAAGGAAAGAAAAATGAGTAGAAGGTCTTCCAGTAGCCAGGGTTGGGCTTGTAGTTCTGCAGTTTCCTTGCTATTTTTCACATCAACCTCAACAGCAGATAGCACATGCTTTCTGTAGGCTACCACAAATGAGTTTTTAAGTAGTTTATTGACTTTTTTTCTTTTTTTGAGACAGAGTCTCGCTCTGTTGCCCAGACTGGAGTGCAGTGGCCAGATCTCAGCTCACTGCAAGCTCCGCCTCCCGGGTTCAAGTGATTCTCCTGCCTCAGCCTCCCGAGTAGCTGGGACTACAGGCGCCCGTCACCTCGCCCGGCTAGTTTTTTTTCGTATTTTTTAGTAGAGACGGGGTTTCACCGTGTTAGCCAGGATGGTCTCGATCTCCTGACCTCGTGATCCGCCCGTCTCGGCCTCCCAAAGTGTTGGGATTACAGGCTTGAGCCACTGCGCCCGGCCAGTTTATTGACTTTTTGGTGATCAGAGGTAACATTTATATTAGCTGACATCCTTTTTCTTTCTCCAGGTATGCAGAAACACATCGAGTATATGCTATTGTATTAGTGTCTGCGTACACATCAGACTTGGGGGATGAAAATGAGTGTGCAAGTGGTAAGTCCAAAGGTAGAAATCTGAGCAAAGCCCTCTCGAGACATGGGGCTGTCTGTTCAGGTTGTGAAAACAGCGCTGTCTTTCAGATATGCCAAAACATTCTAATAGCATAGGAGAAAGATTTACCACCTATCTTTGGATGTAAGTTCACACTTTGATTTCTTCCCAAGCCGTAAGTCTAGAATTGAACGGTAGAGGCTTGGATTTAGTTGAACCATGTACCACCTCTTCATGAGTAACTGTGGTATCAAGCCCTACAGATTTGAAAACAAAAGAATTACTTCTAACTCACACGTAGGCTCTGCTCCTTTGTGTCTCTATGTGGGTCGCCAGTAGGTATTTTAGAATATCTAGAGGGAGATTATCCATGGGCACTGAAAGACTGTTTTTTTTTCCCCATAGGATACTTCACCCGCCCCTGGCAGTGGGAGAAGATCAAGGCCAACTGCCCTTACATTGTGCAGTTTGGCTCCACTGACGACCCATTCCTTCCCTGGAAGGAACAACAAGAAGTGGCCGATAGGTTGGAAACCAAATTGCACAAATTCACTGACCGTGGCCACTTTCAGAACACAGAGTTTCATGAACTGATTACTGTGGTAAAGTCTTTGCTGAAAGTACCAGCATAGACTGTATGATTTCTGCTATTTCACATCCCAATATAGGGGTAGAATAATATCTACTCTCAGCCGATTACTAGACACATAAAACATCCAGTTAAGTTCCAAAAGTGCCTGAAAAACAAACACAAGTTTCAACGTTCAATCTAAGTTACAAATAGCATTTCCATTTTCCACAGACTCTAAAACTCCCAAATTGCTATGAGCTACCGCAGTATTTTCCTCATTTGGTAAGACACGTAAGGACAGCTTAACTGCCCTTCCCTAACCAAAGTAAGTCAGAAACAGCACCCAGGTTTCCTGATTCCCACTCCTGAGTAAAACGAAACAGGTTTTATGTATGTTGCAGGCGTCACACACTTTGCCTCTTTGAAATCAAACTTTTCCGTTTCACTGGGGAAAGAAAACATGACTGAAAGTCCAGAGTGTTAGCTTAGAGCTCAAAATACTAGCTGCTGTTTCAAGCTGGCCCCGGACATTAAACCCAGACTAGGGCCTTCACCTCTGACACTTGTCCCTGAGTCCTTCAGATATGTTGAGAGAAACTGAGACAGGAGTCTTCCAGAGTCAGGAAGGAAGGAGAAGCACAGCAATATACATACATAATATACGTGCAACTGACTAGATTTGTTTGAGACAAGAGTGGTGGGATCAGGGCTGTGTGGAGAGCTCATGGCCTGTCTAAATTGTTGCCATGTGGAAATGGGGCAGAGTGTTACCAATTTTCTGATTTTTTGTGTGGAAAAAATGTCCAAATTATGGTTTTTAAATTTGGGGACTATATATATATACGCGCACACACACACACACACAAAATCCATATACATATGAGTATGTAAGTTGGCAATAAGAGTATACATCAAAAAATTTACAAACACTGCAAGACAAATAAAATCCAAGCCATCCATTTGTGACCACAGTCATAAGCATTAACTTAGCCAGGGGCTTTTAGATAATTATCTGTGAAGTCTGAGAAAAGACTAAGATAACCAAAATGAACATAATGTCAAAGGATGAAATCATGGGGACAATTTGGATTTTGTTCCAAAGTCAAGTGTTTTTAAAAAGAACCTGTCCATACTTCACGTTCTCTTCTATGGAGAACAGAACTTCCGTGGCCCTGTAGAGCTCTTTCAAGCACATTCCATTTTCTTCTGATCATACTTCCTCAAAAAGCCTTTTATTTGGCTGGGTGTGGTGGCTCATGCATGTAATCCCAGCACTGTGGGAGGCTGAGGTGGGTGTATTGCTTGAGGCCAGATGTTTGAGGCCAGCCAGGGCACATAGCAAAACCCCATCTCTACAAAATATTTAAAAATTAGCTGGGCATGGTGGTGCACACCTCTAGTCCTAGCTACTTGGGAGGCTGAGGCAGGATTGCTTGAGCCCAGGAGTTTGAGCCTTCCGTGAGCTATGATCCCGTCACTGTACTCCATCCTGGGTGATGGAGCAAAGAACCTGTCTCTTGAAAAAAAAAAAAAATTTAAATAAAGAAACCTACCCTTTTTCATTTCCCACCATTTTTTGGCTATTATGAGCTCTAAGTGTTACTTCAAATAATTTCCAGTGAATCCACACTTGATGTTCCAGAGCCTGAGTTTGCTGCAGAAATATAATTTCCTATACTTCATGCCTAAAGGAGATTGAGAGCTATCACTTAAAACCAAAAGTCTTGGTTTTTAAATGTGCTTAGACCAAAAAAAAAAAAAAAAATCAGGAAAGGTACCCTAATTGTTTAACAGCAGTCATCTTTGGGGAATGGGCATTTTGGTAGGTACAATGTGGTGGACGTCCTTCTTCTTTATTTTTTTTTTGAGACAGTGTCTTGCTCTGTCGCCCAGGCTGGAGTTCAGTGGCACAAAGCTCTTTCTAACCTCTGCCTCCCAGGTTCAAGTGATTCTCACGTCTCAGCCTCCCAAGTAGCATGAACTAAAGGCATGCGCCACCACGCCTGGCTAATTTTTGTATTTTTAGTAGAGATGGGGTTTCACCATGTTGGCTAGGCTGGTCTCGAACTCCTGGCCTCAGGTTATCCACCCACCTTGGCCGCCCAAAGTGCTGGGATCACAGGCATGAGCCACCATGCCTGGCCCCTTACTTTATCCTCCTAAGAGATTATTTGAATTTGTTACACTAAACATGTATTTTATAATAAAAAATAATTAAGATTTAAAACAATATATTTGACTACTAAAAAGCAAATTATATAAGTCAGTTGAATAAGGAAGTTGTTAAAGAGGCTGTTTAGCACGAATTTGACCAAATCTGTAGTCAAAGTTTGATTCTACTTGAATTTTTTGGAAATTTGCTGTTGTGTTTCTTACTCTTTGTCTTGTTCTCTGTGAAGTCCTTTCGTAAAAAAACAAACTTACACAATTTAGTTCACAAAACTTTGTTGACCTCTCTGTAGAAATGAAAACTAAATATATGTAATTAAGAAATAATTCTGATACTCTTCATTCCTATAAAAGTAATGTTAAGATAGACCTATAGGATTGTTGATCTTTGCTGCCAAATATAACCGGTAACCACAGCTAGCTGTAAAATTGAAAATTCAGTTCAGTCAAAATAGCCGTATTTCAAGTACTCAGCAGCCACTGCGGGCTATTGGTTACCTTACTGACCAGCCGATATAGGCTATTTCTGTCATTATAGAAAGCTCTATTGGACAGCATTGGTCTAGGACACATATTTTGTATTTTCCCCTCATCTACTATCCAATACTGAGTAATAGTTCAAAGTACAAGTGACTTAATTTGAAATGACTTCTGTTTGGCTATTTCTGTATTGCTTAGCTGATCACCACCAACATCATAGGTCTATACAATTTACTAAATCACCCAACTAAGATCAAGGGTGTTTCATGGGAAAATCCACACAAACTATTCATTAAAAACCTATCATAGAGTCATGGACTGGCATGGTTTCTGTTTGATTCTTTGTGGTCACCATTGAATATACAGGGGCCTCTGTACACTCTGAGGAGTATCTATTCTCAGGTGAGCAAAATACCGAATACTGAATGGAAATCAACTGTAAGTATTAGGACTTCATATGCAACTTGAGTTTTTGGTGTTGTCAGGAGTCTAGAGCCCCACAATTAGTTTTGGTTACAGTTTATCCCTGTAGGATAAACGATCCATTTAACTATTCATCAGAGGTGCTGTATTTTTAAATAGTCTCTTATCTCCTAATTTTCAGAATTAAAAACATGCCATGGGAAAAAAGTTTGAAGGTTCTCTTTATTGGTGAGGTAAGGAATACTTTTGTTTTACCCATTGAATGTTAAGCTCTAAAAATCAATCTTTAGCTATAGAGACATAAGACAAAGCCTATATTTAAAACATAAGCTGGTTTCTTCTCATTTCTAGCTCTCTTCCAAGTTCATTTTTCTTACTACATAAAACTAGTGCCTTTTTGATAGGCCAAGTCCCAGGAAGGACAGACATTGTTCTTACCATTCCAACTCTCACTGAGGGTAGAAGAGAAATCCTCTGTAGTTCCAGGTTCCCAAATCCTTCATATATATATATATATGTATGTGTATATATCTATGTGTGTGTGTATATATATGTATGTGTATATATATATTTTTTACAGTCCAGAGGTCTTTTATTAACACCTATTATGCCATGAATTCATAGGGAATAGGTTCCAGCAGCTCAGGTTCCTTCCCATTGGTTCTCACAAAGTGTGCTTCTCCGGGTGGAGCAGGCTGGCGCTTCAGTTGAACCCAGGTAACTTTCTATTTTTTTCTGGAGACGGAGTCTTGCTCTGTCACCAGGCTGGAGTGCAGGGGTGTGATCTCAGCTTACTGCAACCTCTGCCTCCCGGGTTCAAGCGATTCTCCTGCCTCAGCCTCTTGAGTAGTTGGGACTACAGGCGCGTGCCACCATGCCCAGATAATTTTTGTATTTTTAGTAGAGACAGGTTTTCACCATGTTGGGCCAGGATGGTCTCCATCTCCTGACCTCATGATCCGCCTGCCTCAGCCTCCCAAAGTGCTGGGACTACAGGCATGAGCCACCGTGCCCGGCAAACCCAGATATCTTTCTCTTGGGCTTCTTTCTTTTTCTGATCATTTTCCTTCACGCGTTTCAGGAAGCTATCTCGGCTCTTAGAGTGCTTAATGTGCTCAATACGCGCATTCTCTTGGCAAGAATCTTGCCCTTGTTTACAATACTGCGAACAGCATGCTGATGAACATTGTAGACTCTTCCAGTTTTGCCATGGTAATACCTGTGGGGCATTCCTTTTTGAACAGTACCCATTCCTTTGATGTCTTCAATATCACCTTTCTTATAGATTTGCATATACATGGCCAAAGGAACAACTGCGTGTTTTCTAAAAGTCCTAGAGAACATATATTGGGTGCCACTCCTCTTTCCCTTTGTGTTCGTCATTTTGGCGAATTACTGGAAGATGGGAGTTCTGGCCAAAAGGCTATATATCTTATATAGGTATATATATCCAATACTTGAAATAATTTTTGTTACAAAGAGCTAGTGTCATCAAATGCTAATTTGTAGAGCTGGCCAAAGAATGTATTGGACAAAAATTGGTTACTGAGCTGAATTTTATTTTACTGATACCATTTATCTTAAAATATCTCTTCTGATGTCCACTTAGAGCATCTCCAAACTGGTGTTAGAACCCAACTGTCAGTACTAGCAGAGCTTGAATTCCTTTCCATCGGGTCCCATGTTTTTGGCTTGGATACAGAAACTTCTAACTGGAGCTACAAAGTGAAAATATGAAACTAAAATTCTAAAAAGCCCTACAGTCAACTTCTGTGCAACAATACATCAAATAACCTAGTGTTTTCTATGTGGCTGACGATAGGAACTGAAAGTGCTATTAGAACTGAGGACAAATACGGCTTTCTGCTTAGACATATCTCACCATGATTTTTAGAACAGAGTAAGGAAGGGAAATAAATCTAAAACAGAATAAGAAAAGAATGTTATCCCCTCCCTCAAAATAAAGTGTGAATGGAGGGCATGGAGTATTTTTAGTTTTAGTTAATGCTAGAACAGAATACCATAGACTGGTTTATCAACAATAGAAATTTATTTCTCACAATTCTGGAGGCTGGGAAGTCCAAGATCAAGGTGCTTACAGATGTGTTTTCTGGTGAGGACCCACTTCCTCATTTGTAGATGGCCGTCTTCTCCATTTCACATGGCAGAAGGGGTGATGGAGCTCTCTGGGTCTCTTTTTATAAGGGCACTAATCCCATTCATGAGGGCTCTTACTCTCCTGACCTATCACTTCCCAAAGGCCTCACCTCCAAATACTACCACATTGGAAATGAGATTTCAACATTAGAATTTTGGGGGCACACACAACATTCAGTCTACTGAAGACATTAAATAAGAATCTAGGGTAAATTCTAAGAAAGAATACATTTGAGTTACAGAGTGAAACATAAGACTTTAAGAAAGAAGGAACAGTGAAAATATTCTCTTTAGGATGAAAATGATATATTTATGTACTGAAAATATAGCCTTGACAGTAGTCATTGGGTTTGAAGTAAGTATGGTAGCATAGTCTCCTAAAAGAACATTTCTGATATAAAAAGGAATAGTGTGTGGAACAGGCATGTTCCACTCTCCCCCAGTCATACCCCAAGTTTGCATACACTCCCCTTTGCTATTCCTGCCTTTAACCACTTCTAATTTCTTTTCAATGAAACCACTGAGAAAGCAGAAAACAGAAATGGCGGTAGTGAACCAGATATGAAAAAAACTTCCAATGAAGAACTTAATAAATAACTTTAAAAAGAACATTTTTATACTCTAGCCCTTATCATAGTACTTGGTAAATATGGGTATGTTAGCATCTTTTTCCTTGGCCCATCAGGAGTCTTGAAAGATGTGGTCCTCCGGAGTTTCAAAGTGTTTTATTTCTTGAAGAATGAATTTCACTACTAACCTTATTATTTTCATATTCTACTGGCTATTTTACTAATATAAATTTAGTCTTCATAAATAAAAAAATATGTTTTCATAGCAGCAAGTCTATATCCATTATTATGAAGTTTGCTTTCACGGAGATTTGATGTTCCATCATGAATTAAATTATCTGCTCCCAAAGTAACTTCATTTGCAAAATGTCCATTAAGTTCATAGCTCTCTATTAAAATTCGAGCCACTCTGTCATGTAAATACAGTTAGATGGTGAAATCTCACCACCTTCATGGCAGTCATCAAAAACCTTTAAAAAAGAAAAAAAATTATATTCAAATTAAAGTTTTAAAATATCTAAGACCCAACCACTTATTTAAAGCAAGATTAAAAACAAAACTTTCTTTTTTTTTTTTTGAGACGGAGTCTCGCTCTGTCACCCAGGCTGGAGTGCAGTGGCCGGATCTCAGCTCACTGCAAGCTCCGCCTCCCGG